CTGAAGTTCGAAGTACCTTAATTCGAATTAGTTCGAACTTACCTTGGTCCACACTCGGCAGGCAGGCTCCCCCGTCGACTCCGCGGTACTCCTCTCGGCGAGCTGGAGTACCGCAGTCGACGGCGAGCACTTCCGGGTTCGACTTATCGCGTCCAGACTAGACGCGATAAGTCGAACCCAGAAGTTCGATTTCCAGCCGTCGAACTTGCCGGTAAGTGTAGCCAAGGCCTTAGGGTACCGTGACTAGTTTATATCAGTCAGTTTTTATCTTTTGCTGCCAAAAGACTGCATCTCTCTGGAGAAACCCATAACATGTGTGGCAAACATCAAATATTTGGAGCGAATGGTGGGTGTAAAACTATGCAGTATTAAATAAATAAAACAGCCCCGCCTTGTCCTGTGGCAACATTTAGCTTTAGAAAGAATGTTCTCTGATTTACCCAGTAGCGTTCTCTGACTACAAAACAGGTTGTTTTTTAGTCTGCACCCAAAAGAGAGATCTGCCAGATGTGTTTATACTATAAACAAAACAAAAAATCCAACCTCAAGTTATGCCTGCATTAGTCAAACATAAATAAAACTATATCCCTGAAATGTAACCAAAACTACAGTACAACATGGCCCAGACTTTCAGTGTCCAGCAAAGAGGTGTGTCCACAGCTTTCCTCCTGTAGTGAATTGCAGGGCAAATAATAATAGAAGGATACACAACTGCATAAGCAAAAAATGAAGGCTCAGTTGATGGGGGGCTGAATATCTGTTCCTTTGTGTTTTGACTGTATCCACTTTTTCTATGAAAGTGCCCCTTGGTACAGTAACTATGACGTTCACCATACCCACAACATTCAGACTGCGATGAGAATAGTGTTTAAATTCTGTACTATTTTTTATTTCTAGTCTTCTTACAGTCTTTGTCAAAAGAGGACTTTTATGTCCTTTCCTCTTATCTCATTCTTGTTCTAAAGATTATATCAGACATGTACTCTTTTATTGAGGTGCTTTACTAATTGAATTGTACAAATGTAGTCCACAAACATTACTTCTTAAAGCATGCAGTGCTTCCTCTTGAGCCACACAGAAACTGTGTGGGTCTATAGGAAAGATGGGCAGCAGGGAGGCTGTAGTCTATATTTTAGGCATGTTATATGTGGCCTGAGGTCTCTGGAAAAGTTGTCAGTGCAACAATTAAGAAAATCTTGTATGCCTCTGCCTTGTGTTCTTAAACTGAGAATAGTGAATTGTATTATGTTGACCATTTTCTATATATTTTACTGTGCTTAGCTGAGCATTCCTGCTATGTAGTTTCAGTAACTCCTGGAAGAAAAAGTAGCCATCCACCATATAGTAGCGTGTTACTTACATAAGGTATGCAGTGTTGTTGTAGCCATGTTGGTCCCAGGATATTGGAGAGAGACAAGGCGGGTTAGGTAATATCTCCCTTACATAAAATGGATTCACAATTCACTGCCATTCCATTTATTTGGTAGCATTATGATGCAAAATCTATACAGATAGTAGTGGTAAACAGCGTAGTCTCGCCTATTTCTTATTTAATTTGCTGAGATCCAGGGGATCACTTAAATCTTTTTTGAAGACGGCTGAATACAGCTAAATGTGCCTTTCTTTTTTGACAAGAAGTAACTTAAAATATCCTGTATTTAATCACACTATCATATTTTTGGGTAGCATCTTATTCTTTCAGGCTATGGACTATGGTAAATCAAGATGAGATATAAAGAAGTTTTCATTTTGCTGGGACTAGAGTATTATTCTGAATAATCTAGCCTATAGTCATAGTTACATCCATCTGAGAAGAGACAGTAGTGAGGAATGAGTTTATAGCTATTTGCATGTCTCACTTTGGGCCAGGTAAAGGTGTGTGTATTTTTAGATGGCCCTAAAATCATCTCTATCTGTTTCAGGATGCCAATAGAACTGACTTCATTCCTCTACCAACCAGCCTTAAAAAGACAACTGGGGCCTGGAGATATAGGTCTGTACTTTGAACAAAGGTTTTTTCCTCCTAAATAGGCACTGGTTAAACCTCATCTTGCAAACTATATTCAGCATATTGCCTTTCAAACAGGAACCAATGTGAGTGTGTCAAAGAGGGCTGCTGGGCTGGGTCAAACATATTAGACTCTCGTTCAACAGGCTAGTCAAGCTGCACATGGACAGGGTGGAGCGGGGGCACCCAGGAACTGGTTGCAACTCCCAGATTCAGGGCTGCCTGAGCCTGGTACAAATTAGGGCTGCACAAGGACAACCCTCAGGGAAATTGCCAGTGGAGGATTGGGAGTAGTTCACTCCTCCCTATCCTGACCATGCCTGCCCCGTCACGGGTCATGGGGGGGCAGAGGAGGGAGAAGCAGCTGGCTCAGGATGTGGTGAAGCTGACTCCACCAGCGTTCTACTTGTGGGGAGATCTCCTGCACAGTGGGAATTCTCCACTGGTCATCTCCTGCTTGCTTAAGGCAACTTTGCACTGCTTATGCAGTGCAAAATGGCATTAGTGGGTCAGAGAATCTGGCCCTATGAATGAAAATATATATATATATCTATCAAGACCCAGGGGATTGACTTTTATATTAAAAAAAAAAATAACTTTTCAAGATAGAAGATGTGAAAGAAGTTAGAAGTGGGATGGAGTTTGATAATATGGAACTGGTCACAATAGTGATGAGTAAATAATAAAATTAAGAAAAATCCCACCCACAATGAGACCATCTAAAAATTAGGCAATTAAGAGGAAAACCAGGAATGCAGCCAGAACTATTCCACCCCAAATAATTAATACAAGGATAAGTTGCCAAGTGAGGTCAAAGAAGCAAATGGGAAAGTGAGTTTAAGAGACAGCAAGACACTTTTATGGGGAGAGAGGGGATTGAAGGATACGGTGACAAAACAGGGGGAAGAATTGAGATAAACTTGGAGGACAGGCTTCGTGGGCCAAGTGGCGCTATAATTCATAGTTCGCCTGTGAGTTGCAGGAGTTCTGTAAAGTAGCTGAGAAGGCTATCGGACCTCTGGAAGAGCCTCACATACATGTCAAAAAATGTGAAGACTGAAGGTAAAATGCCAGAATGGTTTGAACGGAAGATGAGTCTGACAGACAGGAATTTGTATGCTATCTGCAGACAGCAATAACGAGCAGGGCTGCTGCCTCGTTAATGCGATGCTTATGGCAGACTCACTACAAGAAGTTAGCATGAAAGCACAGACTTGGTGAAGAATTTCTACCCATGTAACTGGGTCTTTGTTAGCTTCTTAGTCCATGATGTGGGGAGCTGATATGCTAAAATAAAAAAAGAGGGTATTTCTGTCAACTTTTCTTAAAAGACTAAGAATGTCTGTAGGACAGGAAAGAGCACTGTGAACTAGAAGATGCCCATTACATGTTTCAAAGTACAAGGAAATACATCTTTATATAAGATTATCATCTTCATAACATCATTCAACCCAAAGGGTCCCAAACCACATTGTAAACAGAGCTTGAACCTGCTCCCACTAGAAATGATGGCAAAACTCCCGTTGACGCAAGTGGAGGCATGGTTAAGCCTGGTATTAATGGACTGATCATTAAGGGCAGCAGCAGTCTCTCAGACACAGCAGCACTCTAAAATGGTTTACATCAGGAATAGCACATCCAGTTGATATGGGTAAGTACATTTAGTTAAGCAGAATGCAGTATTGGAATTTTACCAAATATTGGAATTTGGAATTGAAATTTGACCAAAACAGAAATGGTAACTTACGCCTTCAAAAAAGAAGACCAAAAATAAATAAATTAATTAAAT